TTTTTTTTTCCCGTGTTCCACAAATACCAAAAAATAGAAAGTTGAATCATCCAATAACCACATTTTCACAAAATTCTAGGGTTTGTTTGTAAAGTATAAACATTTATTTCAACTAACAGGTAAAACATATCCTGAAATTAAATTTGAAAGAAGCGCTAGGGAAAAAAATATTGAACATGTATCCAAACCAGGCCACGTTCTCTTCTTTTATTTAAAATGTAATAGTATTTCTAATGTAATTTTGATTTTATTTTCTTTTTATTCTATAGTTTTGGACTGCAGGCCAGCGCCTAGAATCTCTGCTCCAAAAAGAGCCCTCTGTACATTAGAATGAGATCAAAGCTAATTCAGGAAAAAAAAAAAAAAGCTAAAAGTCCTAAAATGAATATAAGGACCGTACTTCACACACACACTCATACACACACACATGCACACACACACGGAGCGCTCCAGCTGCTGCCACTGGCCTGAAAAGGCCTTGAAAAAGAGCGACTGGTGTCATCAGCAACAAATTAACTCTTTCTCTTTTTTTTTCTTTCTCCACGGAGCAAAGGTTGGCAATGATAGTGTGCTCTTTTTTTTTTTTTCCGTCTTTCTAAACACACATCAATGCTGTTATGATTAGTCATTTTACTGCCAACAATGGTTGCCAAATGTGCATGAATGGCCTTTTCCACGTCCAATTTTGGAGGAGAAGGCCATTGAAAGACATTGATTTTGACATTGAGAGAAGTCAGACGTCGTACCCCTCCCCTCCCTCCCTCCCTCCATCCATTCCTCCATCCCCGCTCCCTCCCTCCCTCCCTCCCTCCTCCCCTCACTCGCTCTTCACACACATTGTGAAATTCAAATCTGTTCATGACAAAATAGAGTGATTATGTTACACCCGTGGATCTGGGCTAGTTTTGAGTGGCAAATGCGCGAAACCTCCGCATTTGGCTACGTGTGAATCAAGGGGACAATAGAGAAGCAAATGTTAAGTCGTCGACGTACGGACGCATACACACACACACGCAGCAGCAAGAGCAGGAAGGGATGAAAGCAACAGCAGAGGTTGACAGAGTGTTCACAGGGTTGTTTTGAAGTAAAGTATATTGGTTTATCCTGTGATGAGCGCTGGCTG